AAGCTTCCATAGGAAGTACACCGACTTCAGCGTTCTTCAGCACCGCGCCTTGAATGCTGCCTTAACAGGTGAAGGACTACGGTCCATCCTGCAGGGGATGTATACCACCCTTACAGGACTGCACAGTGCACAGCTTGCCAGCCGTGACTAACTCCATCGGAAGGACGCTGCGCCTGCGAGCGTTCCTCGGTTCGGAATGTTCTGAAGGTTGTGTAAGGAGGCACCATCAACCGAGGAATGTTCTGAAGGTTGTGTAAGGAGGCACCATCACTTTCTTGTTTCGCTCCACGCCTTGAAAGCTGACATTTGCCTCTCGTTGTGCTCCGCAGCTCCTCCGTGAAGACCCCATGATATCTGCCTCCCCTCTTTAGAGGGCCCACCCACTCCCTCCTCAACGCCCTGGACAAGCTCATGTCTCGTTTGCTCGAGCTCACCTGTGGAGCCCGACAGCTGCAAGACCGTCCTCCCCCGTGCTGTGCGCCCCGGAGCATGGTGGCTAAGCTCCACGCGGCTATGCGCGCGGCGCACACGACTCGCGACTATGGAAGAAACCCTAATTCTATACCGCTCGCGTCACGTGGCTTGAGCGCTTCGACGCTGCCCCCCGCTTCGTCCCTCCTTCCCACACTCTTGGGGTCCCATGCATGTCATCCTTGCGCAGGGGCCATCGCACTGCAGGTTTTTGCTGTTGTCTTAACTCGTCTACTTTGAGAAACTGTGTGCTTTTTTTTTTTTTTTTTACTGTGTGCATTTCTCTTTGTGCAGTGTGCACTTTCCTTGCCCTTGCCAATGTTGATCTCTCTTTTTTTTTTTTTTTTTTTTTTTTTTCCTTTCCCCTGCCGTAAAGGCCAGGGTGTTGTAGAGGCCAAGCAATAGACCCACAGTGATCGCTGGCAGCTGTAGCCGATGGTTGTCCTGACAGGATAGGCCACCTTCCCTACCCTTCTTCACGTTATTACTCCCAGCGTACCCCCTGTCCCTACTATCCTACCTCAGCGTGACCAGCACTCAGGACCATCACGCTACCAGTATCGAGGGCAACTTGGACCAGACAGCAGGGACAAGCACCAAGGCTGAGCAACCCCCCAGCCCTACAGTCTTCCCCGGATTACAACGTTTTTTTTTTTTTTTTTTTTTTTTTTTTTTTTAAACACGGCTCCATCTGTTGGTGGGGAGCAAC